CGCTCTTCCACACTTCGACAACCACAACAGCACAGCTGCCAAAGCCATATTCAACAGTGTGTACGCTCCTGAAAAACTTCTGGAAATACACCATTTCTTAAACCCCACGGCTTGGGAGAGTAGAAGACAAATAGGCCAAATCATTGAGAATTCTGCTAGTGGACAGGATAAAGCTTTTCAGAGCCAGGCTCACCCTCCACGTCTGTGACTCACAAAAAATCTAATCAAATGTGATACGGGAGCCTTCCAACCCAAAGTACGTGCTCCAAGCAGCAAAGTTCAGACGGACAGAATGTGCCCGTACACAACATCAACCGCAGAATACTCTTAGAACACAACTACTCTAGAACAGTCACACTTTTTAGGCATTAATTCTTGGCAAATGCTAACAACCTTTTTGCTCCTGGGAACCATAACTCCGTACCTCTTCAAAATTTTGGCAGGTCAATCAAGGGAACTCAGGAGTCACCCAAAGCCCAGCTCTCTTGGAGGGAGGCAATCAGCCCTGAGAGCTAATTATTGCTGCCTCTACCTTGATATCATGGACATCGTTACATATCAACCCAATACCTATTTGAGCAGAAGAATCAGGCTCGACAAAATAGTCTCTACTTCTGTCCTCTTGGGTTTACGGGACAAGGTAAAGACAACCAGGTATGTCTCTGGTGGGAAAACCTACACTCAAATTAGAAGGACCAACACTCGGCGTTATCTAAAGTTTTTTTTAGTCAAACTTAATGTCTAATAGAAAAACAACCTATTTTTCCTACCACCATTCTTTCACCTAAAATATTCAAAATCATTTTACAGGGTCCAGTATCGAATCAATAATTTGATTTCTTGTCAATATCAGTTGACTAAATCCATTAATGTACATAACAAGTACCTTCACTGCTTGCCCACTCACCACTCTGAGCTCAGTGGACACTGCCCTGACCTCACCTAGTCATTATATCCTTAGCTGGTTAGAGGCATCATGGATTCTAAATCCCAACAAATAGGAACAGAGGTTTCACATAAGAACTTGTGACTAAAAATCTTTTGTTGGTAATGAAGTGGCAGCTCTGCTGTTTCTGAATGTGCACAATTTGGAGCTAATACTAGATAGGATACTTTGAAAAATCCTGTGAAGTTGAAGGTACCCCCTGTGTGTGTGTGTGTGTGTGTGTGTGTGTGTGTGTGTGTGTGTGTATTTTTTTTCTTTGTTGAGGGAGTTTCTGGCAATAATATATGATAGAGGGAAAAGGGGAAGTCATGACCTGCCTCTTCATTCTTCATAGGAGAGAATCAGAGTAAATGAAAACATTTTGAAGCAATAATTATAAACGAATTAAAAGAAACAGCATGAGAGTGAATCAAAGTATTGAAGACTAAAGAAACCTGAATTGCTGCAGTTAAAATATGCCATGTTCCCTTCTGGCTTCTTTTGTTCCCCTGTTCAGTAAGGTCAAGTCCCCAAGCTCTGGCATATTTTTCAAATGTCTCACACAAGGTGAGTTACCATCACAGAAGGGTGGTCCCATGCATTCCCATGATCCACGTGCCTGCTGTGTGCCTGCATATCTCCCATTTCAAGGGGAAAGAGACAGCCAGCCTGCACATGGCAAGTGCCAAGGATCACAGGTTCCATGGTTTCATTCAGCAAACCAAGAGCTCCAACAGAAATGCTTTACACTAGCACCTTTGCGTCAAGGAGTGTGCACCCTATCGAGTCCAAGCAAAGCTCAGGGCTTTTATAACCTTACTTACATAAGAGATTTATGTCTTTAAACATAATCTAATGATGCACACTATTAGTTCATCTCCTAGGAGAAAGCTCAGTAAAACCTAAACTAAGAGGGAAACACAGGCTTCAGAAGCCTTCTTCTAATGCAAAGCTATTGCACATGTTTTCTGTTGCATCCTCCATCTTCCTTCACGGTTTGTCCTCAGCACCCACCGCCATGCTCTTTC